AAAGCGTGGAAATCATAATATGAGATTCTCAGAGTATTCTAATATTATATAAAATAACCCATTCCTATTATAGTAAAAATCGTTGCTAAAGGTCCAAAATAAGATTCTTATTGTTTAACAATAAGGAGATATTAGTGATATTAATTCAAAATAATAATTACGAAGGGCATGTATGTATCTGCCACAACCAATAAACAAACAGTACAGAAAGGAATATTGTAAATTATGAAGCCAGAAACAAACAAGCTATGATGTCATGAATGATGTATGGCGTGTATGTTTGCTGCTAAATTTAATTTTCGTTCATTATTTATGATCAAAAATAATATTTTTCTCAAAAGTATTTCTATAATAAGTATTTTTAACATATGTGATCTGGAATTATAAATAATAATTTATATTCTTTTGTAGATAAGTTCTTTATTTTATGTATAATATTTGTAGGATTAATATTGCATCCAAGAATCTGTATTGTTGAAAAATTTGCACCATCAAAGATTAAATTAATTATTGTATTCTTGTAACATATCAAAACAATGACAAATTAAATGAGCTTTTGTGTTACTATTTATTCCGTTAATAAAAAATACTCTACTGAAACTTTCCAAACTTCATTTATAGGTACTATCATGAAAACTAAAACTTTTGCTTTACCAATATTTTTTATATTATTCCCAATATATTTATAACACCGTATAATTTATCAGCAACCCATTCTATACGTTTATGTAAATTTATTTCATCGAACACTAATGAATACAAAAGTTTTTTCTTGGAATACTTACTTTTTTTCTTTTAAAAAAATCAAATATTTCTTTCGTAAATCCTGAATTAGCGTTAATAATTTCATACCAACAAGATAAAATTTTTGGATGGGACAAATAATTTTTGGAAATACTTCTGACATAATTGTAAGCTTTTGGTGAAAAATAATGAAAGGTAATACTAAAATGTCATAAAAAAAATGAGAAGAAAAGTAAACAAAATTATTTCTACTGATACTTAGTAAAGATCAGTCTAGTGTCGATGCATTGGAAATTGAGTTTTCAATATTAATTAAATTTTATTTTTCATTTTTTTCTTTTTTTCCACTGAAATTAAGCAATTTTTCAATTTTTTATACGTTTTGTATTGTAAAACCATAGTGGCCACTACGAAAAAAATCTCATAGCTATTCGGCAATTTTTTTGTAGATATAAGATACTTAAAAGAACAAAAAAAACGTAAAGAATACATTTTTATTTGTGATTTACATAATTTTTTTTTAAAATAAAAAAAGGAAAAATTGCTAATTTTTACATTACATCATCATACATTAAATCATTTAAATCATGTTTATGTGTTCCTTCAAAAATTTAGACAACTATATAATCAAATAGAGTTCGCAAAGATTGCACATTTTGGGCTGATTCCGACGAGCAACCTCCATTATCATTCGAAGCTCGGCGGCCAAGCGCTCACGTGATGCCCAGGAGCGTCCTTATATCAGAAATATACTGAAAGCGCACCTTCCGCCAAATCATTATTGAAACATGTTTTTTATTAAATAATTTATTTTTATTAACATAAAAATTTTTATTGTTAATTTATTAAGGAACAATGAATAAATTAATTGTGTTATAGAAATTTTTATGTTAATAAAAATAAATAAGATAAGATAATAATAAGAAGTTAAGATATACTTATATCTTAGCGTAGTTTTCTAATACATTACATAATTATGATAACGTACATTTCAACAATATCTTCCACATTACTCGTGAGGTACTATTGTAAGATGCATTTTTTTTAATGTGGTTTCCTCAGTAGGCCCCTATTCCAAAAAGAAGAATCGATATAATATGATATATAGTCGATATAATATGATATATAATTTTGCTTTCCTGCTAAGCCACATTCAAATTTGATTCTTCTTTTTGTAGAATAGGCCTTTTCTTTATATTTACAATAGGTTTTTTTTTTAAATCGATGATTCCTAAATTATAAAAAGGCTTATCTTTTTTATAAAAATTATTGGACCGAATTGATTTGTATGTGTATTCCGTTTAAATCTTATCCCAGAACAGAATTAAAATTTATTTAAAATTTTGGTTTGGAACTGGATCATTTAAATTATTGTAACTCGGAGAATTTTTAATGAGTTGCACTTAAATTTTCAGAAAATACTCTTGAATAGTCTTTAGTTGATAAATGTATAAAGATCAATTCTTTGACGCTCTAAACTAGGCAGCTCTCTTAGGCCGGTATTCATAGTCGATTCTTATTTCAAGATCGTCTTAAGTAATGTCTTAAGACGTTAATGTAGCCCTCTAATTGGTTCTTGATTTCTTAAGACAGTACTTAAGACGGTCTTGAATATAAGATTTGATTAGGAATACCAATCTTAATAGTACAATTAGTAATAGAATTACAAGAACAAATGTAAACAAGATCAAATTTAAAAAAAAACAAAAGTAAACATGAAACTACATTTTATTATAAAAATTATTCGGTATTTACGAATAGCTATTTTTCTCAAAGATGTATTGATCGTGAAGAGTTTGAGGCCCAATCACTCATGGTTTCAATCACTAGATTTCATGAATTCAAAGGATTTTTATTTGAAAATATTTAAAGTTCATTATTTATAAAATTCTTAAGAGAGTTTTAAGAGAGAGTAAATGGATGTATAATATTCTAAGAATTCAATAGAATAAAATATGAAACGGAAGCTGAAAAGATCAAGATAGTAGTAGATAATTTTGAATTATTTTTGTAAGTATATTGTGAGTTGTTTACTTTGTTTTTCTTTGTTTCTCTTTGTTTTGTTGAATTCTATTTGTTCCATTGTTTAATATTGTTAGAGCATTAAAATTCCTGCTATCTCAGAAACTAAGTGTTTCTAGATTCATGTTTATATGAACTTCAAACAAATTTTTTTTTATACAAACACATCCCTCTCTCTAAAATATAAATATTCAAGTATAAAAATTATACTGCAGTGATGGGATTCTTCCGAGAGCTCTGGACTTCCCAAAATTCACAAAGATGTTCCCTTTGAGAATTATTATTTCGTCTATTGATAGTCTTCTTTATTCATTGGCCTCATTTTTGCACAATATTATCAAAGACAATGTTCCTAAACCAAGTAGCCATATTGATAATAATTTTAAATTGGTTGAAAAACTTAATGGATTTTGTTTAAATAATAATTATTCGTTGATTTTTCTTGATGCAATATCATTCTTTACCAACATTCCTTTAGATTAAAAGCTATAAAAAGTATTTAGATGGCATTTCATTACATATCGTTATATACCAAAAGACGAATTTTTTAAAGCTTAAAGATTAGTATTAGAGTCTACTTTTTTTACCTTTGATGAAAGAATTTACAACCAGAAATTTGGAACACCCATGAGTTCTCCATTGTCTCCCATCATTACAGATTTGGTTATGAAAGATTTAGAGTGCAAAGCTTTGGAGAGATTTGGAACTGAGGTATCTTTTTATTTTAGATATGTTGACGACATTGCGACTGCTATTCCTAATCACTTCATTGAAGAATTTTTAGAGGTATTTAATTCTTTTTATTCAAGGTTGCAGTTTATTTTGGAGGTTGATTGTGACCGATTGAATTTTTTGGATGTGATTATTAAGGCGAACGGAACATTAGAATTTAATATTTATCATAAATTAACTTTTTCGAGAAGATATCTCAGTTTTTTGTCTCTTCATCCTCTTTCATAAAAGAGAGGTGTTCTTATGAGCATAATGGACAGAACTTTTTTGCTATGTTATCCAAAATATCATAAAGATAATTTCAATTTTATTATTAAGACATTTTTGGATAATGACCCTACCCTATTAACTTTATTTTTGAAATGATCAATTTACGATTAAGGTCTCTTTTAAAATGTAAGACGCTTAAACAAACAGATAAAACTAACATTGACAATAAAACAATTTCGTGATTTACCATTCCTTGTATTTATGACAATTTCAAGAGCATTATCAAAAATCATAATATTAAATTGTCTTTCTTTGAACAAACTTGACGGAATTATTAAAGCACAAAAAGACGTTCTTTCTCATAAGTCAAAGAAAAATATAGTTTACAAGATTAATTGTAAAAATTGCAATGCCTCTTATATTGGACAGACGAGCCATAAATTAAAGATTAATTCGCACATCTCTACACCACATATACTCAGAAGAATTTTAATTTGTAATTTTCAACCGTTTTAATATTTGACTTATTATATAAGGTAGAAATTTTTGTTTTTATGTTTTAGACTTATTGTTAGTATGTAAAGTAGGAATTATTTTTATATATTAACATTGAAAAGATCCTAATATAAAGATAAAACGTTTATTAAAACTTGAAAGACATTAAATATTAGCTATCATGAACTAGCGTTGATTATTAGCTCTTTATCCTTTATTATTGAAAATATTGGTATTGTACAGTGACAAACCGTCCTAAATTAAGAGAGACAGTTCCAAATTTTAACTCTTCATCTCACTTTACATCTTAAATTAAGGACATGATTATATAAATTGTCCCCTTTTTAAGTACCTATGTAAAAATAATAATTATGAATTAATAAGTATAAAAGTAATAAAAGTGAAAATAATAAATGTAAAATTTTCAACTGTAAATAAAAATATCTATGGGTTATTGAAAATATGTAAAGAAAATTTTATGATTTTTATATTAAAAACTCATAGATATTCATAAAATACATTTGATAGAAAAGTACAATTTTAGAAAATAATGTACTCTCGTAACTTGATGTATTTTTTTGTAATCTCATATGATATACATTAAGTGTTACTAGTTATTTACAAATACAATAATATGTTAATGTTTGTGTGTTTCGTTAACAATTATTTAAATAATGCTCATCTATTAAAATTTATTTATGGCAATATTGAATTATTTTTAAATATCCCTCTGCTTTCTTGATCATCTTAGTGTATTGTAGTATTTGCTGTGAATATAAAAAAGTTTTCTTCTACAGATTTCCGGCGCAATCGTGAGTGTGTTTGCCAGTTATTTCATTTATCAGCTGCACGAATATGGGTTGCTCACACCCAGCCATGTGTGTGAGTCATCTGCTACTTTATTGGCGATGGGCGTTATTACATGCGGAATCGGCTGGCTTGCCTGGCAATTCCTGAATTTTTCCAACAAAAGTCAAGTAATCATTGTAAGTTTACTTCTGGAATATTCAGGGAAGAATTAGGAAATTCAAAACTGATATGAATTGTTCGTATTCTAGTTTGCTATAGCAGTGGCGATCATCGTGCTGATCGAAACCAGTGTCGGGATTTGGGCCTTAGTGCGCCATGAACAAATAGACACAACCTTATCGTCCACACAACATGAAAAGATCTTTGCTCTTGCGGTCACGGACGAAAAGTCTATCTGGGACTACATGCAGTCCACGGTAAAAATTGCGCTCTCTCTCTCTCTCTCTCTTTTTCTCTCTCTCTCTCTCTCTCTCTCTCTCCTCTGCCCTCCTCCTTCCCCAGCTTCTCCTTCTCTGTATTGGCGAATTTGGCACACATACACTGACTTTGATCTAGTACATGATGTAAAAAGACAGATATAGTGAGCCAATAAGAAATGCCCAGAAGTGCAGAACGAAGCGGAGCAAATGTACAGCAGTGTAGTGTATCACTTTGCAGCCATATTGAATTCTGACATCCTGGATAATTTCTGATTAGCTCTTTAGACGATTGCACATCTGTGGGAATGATACACCTGTCTTTTTACATGCTTTAATGCTGCCCTGACATGATGCGAGAACCACTTTAGTGTTACGCTACCGACGAGATACTATTAAAGACCGTCAACTCTGGGCAAATTTTCGATGGTACAAAAAGGGCCTCAAGGGGTAATTGAAGAACGCTGACATCGACAATTCATATAAATTTGCTTATTATTAACATAAATATTTGGCTCATACATTATTAAATTCATGATTTATTACATAAATGTTTCATAAATAAATATGCATACTTGTAAAACTATAATATCTTACATATTGCAGAAAAATTATAATTTTTTCTCTGTTGATAATCAAACTTTGACGATAACATTGAAATCACAATTTTAAAGAAAAATCGATATTATTGAATTCTAAATACATAAATACGTCTACTAAAAAATACTACTACTAATAAATCATAAAATTAGTACAATAATATCAGTTTTTAACTTTTTTATTACTTCAATATTCACAAGGACGCGAACTCCTGTAAGGATGTTGGTCTTTAATAATATCTCTCGTCGATGACTATGCCAAATGCACTATCAGAAACGTCAGTGCAACAATTTCTTGAAATCATTTTTATTTATCTTCACGCTTCTACTATATCTCCTACTCACTTCATCAACGACACGCTAAACCGGCTTCCGGGTGAATTCGCTCCATTCTTCCTTGATTCTCTCTATCCCGTATTCGTTCTTTTTCTACTGTCTAACATTTTTACTTACAGGGGCCCCTATACCTTGCCTGTGTATACAACCTCTTTGATGGAAAGTTGTATACCCCTTGGCAAAGGGGGGGAGGAGGGGTGGGGATGAAAGTCATATTTCCTTCATCGGTCCATCTCTCCCTGTCTAAAAGTTATCAGACTTTATGTAAAGCAGAGAAATAATTACTAACTTTGACTGTTAATAACTTTTTAATAAGGATGCATCGGATCGTAAAATTACCAGATATCGGATATCCGAACAGACTGTAACATCAGATATCGTTATCCGATCGGATATCCGAGAAGGCAATTCCTTCGAGTCGGATATCCGACATTTTCTAGATTGCGGGAAAATGTCTTCTAAAAACAAAGAAAAAAAAAGAAAAATCTGTAGAGAAAAAAATTGTAATTTTGCAACAATATATAAGATATTATAGCATTATGAATATCTATACTTATTTCTGGAACATTTGTATAAGAAAAAAATCAATTTTTATTTGATATAAAATTTCAACCAGATATATTCCCGGATACTAATGATATCCAACTATTCGATCGAATAGTAAAAACCGGATAATATCGGATATTTTTCGGATATTCAGTGCATCCCTACTTTTTAACGAATAACGAGCCACGGCTAAAACTTGTTGGAGATCACTCAGAGTCATTGAGGTTGGGTTCTCTTTTATCAATTTTATCATCTATACAGTTTGTTTTTTAAACTCTATTCACAATACAATCGTGCTATACCTATTATTGAATAGGTTTTTTATGAGGGTGTGCGCGGGGTGAAGAGAGTGTAATATATACATATATATCGGTGAATACATATCTGTGTCTATGATTCCATTGATATAATTTAACATTATTATATATGGTCCATAAATTTAGTATATAAATGATTATACAGTTGTAAAAAAAACAAATTGTATTGTGTATATAAAGATGCTTTTCAGTCTGATTAGACTCAAAGTAGCGTTCAAATGATGCTACAACAAACTCGTGTCTATTTTTTATTGTGTTTATGAAAATCTTTGATAAGCATTTCACAATGATAAAATACGGAATTCTCTTACGGAAAATCAATAATCACTATTGGATATTAATAGTGATTATTCATTCTTTAATAGTGAGTGAATATTTACAGGGTGGGCCATCTATTGGTACGTTTTTAAAAATGCGATCAAATGAGCATACATTGATATTTTTTATTAATTTTTTTTTGTTGTGAAGCTAAAAGTATCCGCGTCAAGAATGAAAAACGATTTCGTTCATGTGGCTCCCTCTACTGGCCTTACAGTATGCCATTCGGTCACCCCAATTATTAATGACATTTTGGACTACCTCGGCGCCAATTTCACTCAAAACAGTCGTAATATAATGTCATCCACTAACATCCCTTTCTCACGAACTTTCCTCACCAATTTGCGTATAGCTCCTTCGGTGGGTGCTCTATCACGACCCATATTTCTTTTCAAAATTCGTACAGTTTCGGCGACACAGCACTGACTTTGAAAATAAGTTTTTAAAATTTCAAAACGCTCTTCAAGAGAAAACATGTTGTTTCGTGCCGCGGACGGTATGACTAATAAACTGTCAAAATTTCGGGTCTGTAGCTCGTTCGGTGTTGCCATACGACGAAATTCAAAAACGTACCAATAGATGGCCCACCCTGTATAAAATATCTTTTTTAGCCAATTTGATTAAAACCATTTTTTTCAAATTTAATGATTAAGCACAGAGTCCTTTAGTTATATTTACGATAAAATAAGATATATGAAATGTGAGAAAAATTTAAATCGAGCTAACTTCGATTCGATTAATAATTTAATTTTAGTTACGATGTTGCGGAATAGATGGGCCTTCCGATTATCGTAGTGTAGATTCGATTCCTTGGTCCTGCTGCAACACGTCGAATCAGGAAAAGAACGGGAGTGCTTGCGCTACTATCAATAAACGTGGATGTCAGCACGTGGTTTTAAGTCGGACGAGATCGATCCTTCTTCATGTGTTTCTCCTCGCGTTATGCTCTGTGCTGCTACAGGTGCGTGTCTTTGTTCACCGAAATTCACGGATCACTCAACTAATCGAATGATCATCAATTGGTTTCAGATTTCCTTCATAGCGTGCATAACTTATTACGTTAGAATATACAAAGACAGAATGGAAAGGAGAGCGTCAGAGATGCGCACGTCTCTGCAAGATACGAGGGAAACAGATACTAAGAACAATCTTTTAAGTCAGTCGAATAATCCTGGCAGTAATAATCCTTAGCTAATGCTGCATATGACGAAAGACAGAGATGTGTGTCGCTTAAGGACATTGCGTCATTGTGATATGCGAAATACGTTTCGCATGGTGACAATATCAACAGTATATAGATATACTAGTGATATTAATATCCCCATTATACAAGGTGTTTCAGATCAATCGAGATATACTTCCGATTTTTTTTCACTCTCTAAATTCTTTGCTGTGGAATCTCACTTTAAAAGGTAAAAAAATTGAGCTAGCGTGGAAAAGAGTGGCTAATTTTCAATCTTTAAGGGCAAAATTTTAATTCAAAGTGACAATTCACTCTAAACATTTTAGAAAATATACTTTAGAGAGGGGAGGGGGGGGAGGACTATAGCTTGTGAATTTTTAATACAATGAATTACTTTGCAAATAAATCTTAATTAATATTTTTAATAAAATTACTAAAAAAAATTCTTTTATACATATTTAAAGAGATAATTTCTAAAAAGATTTTTTTTTTCTTAATTAAATTTAAGAAAAATTTTTTAATTCGTTGAGGAAAATATATATCTTTAAAGTATTTTTGACTCTTATTTGAATATCCTGTATAAAGAAAAAAGTTGAAAATATTCTGAAAGATGCCTGAATAATTTGCATCCTATTCTTACTGCCATTTTATAAGTAAATAGATGTTTATACTATGACAACATTTCTGTCTTAATACTATGATAGCATTTCTGTCTTTTTATTTAAGTTCCTAACAATACCGAGACTTAGTATGATTTAGTTAAAAAATAGTTAAAAAATTGTATTATCTTAGCAAACGTATCAAAATTCATATTTACATTTTTGAGGCCTTTAATTTAGTTTAATCTCTAGAATCAAATTAATAAAACTGAATTGGACATGTCGGAATGTTGTGTACAAATTTTTTATTGATGAAACAAATTACTATAAAAAAGTACCAAATATTTCAACAGGTTTAATTTGGTTCTGCTAATTTGGTCCTGCTAGATTATTAATAGAGGGAATTAGTTAGTTGTACTTAACATATTTCTTACTGCAATAATTGAATAGATAATGAGGTGCACAGTGCAATCAATCAATCAACGATAGACACGACCAACAAAAGTAGAATAATATTAAACATCCGATATGAATGTACCATTTTCAAATCTTACATTATTCAGAAATATTTGTATTATATGATCCTCGATTAACAAATAGAACGTAATCGAACGAGTCAGAGTAAGCGACAAAAATAACATAATTATTAATTATGCGAATGTAGTTTTTCTATTATTTTGATCTATATAGCTTTTAATTTGTAATATTATTTAGTTTATATTTTATCTATATATCTTTTATTTTAAATCCCTTTTAAACATTTTCTTTTAAACTTATTTTTTTGTTAATTTTGTATTTAAACTTTTTTCGTTATTTGCAATATATATCATTCAAATCTTTTATAATTTTCTAAAAATTAAGAGATCGATGACTGAAAATGAAAACTATTTTGTACAAGAAGTACGATTGTGTATTTTTGTAGAATCGTATAGTATGAAAGAAAAGAATGTTTAAATAATTCTGTTATTATCTGATCATTGTTCCTCACATATTTTCCTCTTTTAATTTATATTAAAATTAATTAAAAAGCTGATAAAAATTTAAAATGTAGTAAAGCATATGTTTTCATCTTGTAGAATAATAATTTCTTAAAATACATTGCAGAAATAATATTTTCAGTTTATTTTAAATATTAAGACATTACATATTTTTGGTCTTTGTATTAGATCTTCTTCAGATATAAAAATTCGCAAAGATTTTAACATTTTGAGAGGAGCACTCTTCATGTAGAGCCCTTTCACAACAAACATTATCGTGTATTAAAATTAATTATAAATTATTATAAATATTAATTTCTATTTTGGATATTTATATTATTGTCTATATTTATAATTATTAATAAGTATTAATAATTATTAATATCTATAATTATTTATATTAATATCTATTATCTATTATTATTATTAATTATAATTATTATAATTATTAATAATCTATAATTATTTATGATTATAAATAATGAGTAACATTTATTTTATACAATTGTATTGTAAATATATTTCAATATAAAGAATTTAAAAAATAAGATTAAGTAAAATTACTTTTGTAGATAAAAAATACCAAGTTGTATATCTGGGTGCTCTAACCGCATTAAAAACGATTCTTTCTGCATTACGAACAATTTTATTAACAACTTCATTAACAACTTTACTAACAACTTTATTAACTTCCGTCCTTATTGCATTACGACACATTAATTGCATTTCAAAATTTATTGCTGACGCTGAAAAACAATAGCTTAGTCTTTTTAGTTGAATTTTTTGCATGATTCAACTTTTCACTTTTTTCATACAATACGAAGAGAAAAAGAAGAAAGATGGATTGAGAAATTGATGAATGCGAGAAATGCAAAAAATTCGATTAAAAATAAGCCTAAGGCTAATTCTATAATGTGTTTTTTGTTTCCTGTTTCTTGCTGTTTGTCTCTGTTTGTCTCTTGCCTTTTTGGTCAATAAGACAAGAGACAAACAGCAAGAAACAGAAAATAAAAAGCACATTGTAGAATTAGTCTTATAGTTCACGTGTGTACTATAGATTTTTTAATAATGGTAGTGAATTTTAGGACAACACAATCAGTGTATATTACATACATTGCATCATTGAACCTTTGCCAAAAGATATATTTTTCAATTTTTTAGGAAATATACATACATCGATCATTACTTTTGTGATACTATTATTCCGATTACAATGTATTTCAATTCTAATTTTCCTCCCGTTTGCGCTGAGTAAGCAAAGTTCCGTATTGGTGCTGCCATTGTGAGGGCACAAGTCACGTGCACCAATCATGCGGAATCCCGAATGTCCAGACTCTCTTCTTTTAGGGACACTAGTCGTGTTACAAGCAACTTACCGTTTTGTTTATTTAAACCGAAATTTGTGGACATAGCGAAGAATACAACCAAAAAATCATGGACATTACTGACCGGATCATGGACATTGATTACGTAATTCAATGTCGACTACATTTTGTGGGCATAGAAGCGTTTCAAAATAAAGTAATAATAGAGTAATAGTATATGAAGCGTTAATTTCAAAATGCAAGCTTCAGATTGGCTGTCGCAACAAACTTGCGATCAGCTCGCAACTAATATAGAACCAGCTTAAAGTAACAGTTAAATCTCGGACCGCTCTCAAGCTTCTCTCTGTTAAAACTCATATTTTTTTTTCATTGAATCAACTGCCTTTAGTGAACAGCACTTTTTTTATCAATTGTAGCATCTTTTTTATAGGTTTTTAAAAAATAGAATTTGGTTCAAAATATAGATCAAATAGATAGAGCGGTCAAAGTTATGGACTCTGCACAATAAAAGGAACAGGGAAAAGAGGATAAGAATTTTAACCTATCAGAAACTATGTATTCCACAATACATAATTTCTGATAGGTTGAAATTTTTATTCTCTGTTTCTTTTATTATGCTGAGCCCCTAACTGAATGGGTGCATTTAGTATTACTGAGCGTTCAGTGAGCGGTCATAGTACTGAATGCACCCAATGAGAGCCGCGCTTTTTTCCAGAATTGTCCTGTCATTGACTGTCGCTAGTTAATGATAGCGACAATCATCGATAAGACGTTTAAGCCGATTCTACATTAGTTGCAAGTTGATTGCAAGTTTGTTGCGACAGCCAATATGAAGCGTTGCATTTTAAAATGCAAACTTCAGATTGGCTGTCGCAACAAATTTGCGATCGGCTTGTAACTAATGTAGAATCGGCTTTAGAGAATCCCGCTATTACTGTTGTAATACTGAATGCACCTATTGGTTCATGACATCTTAAGATTGTACTTAAGGCTCCTGACTAGTCGCGGCGACTATGTTAGAATCGTGACCAGCTTTCAGCCATTTGTCGTAACACACACAATGCATGTGCCTAACGCTGATTGGTTACTCCATTAGGTGTTCTTACTGTTAGAAGAAGACAACGTTAAAGAAAGAAAAGATTAAGATGAGGAATTGCGTTATATAGATACCCCCAGTAGGACACTAAATGGTGACTTTCGGTTAATTGATGCTACTCTCTTTGTATCTACTCTAACAGGAAATGCTATATACTGCCAGGTTCGCTGAACGGAATAACTTGCAATATTTTGTCGCCATATTGAGCATACATATATTGGATCATTTAAAAAGTATCCGCGGTTTTTTGTCACTAGATGTGTATTGATGGTCATATATCTAGTGACAAAGTACCGCGGATACTTTTTAGATGACCCAATATGTATAGTCACATTTAATTATGTTAGTGAATTATATTAAGTATAGAAGTGAGTTTAATCTATTTAGTAAAGTTCAATAGAATTTCTGTTAATAATTTTGCAATATATTGTTTAAAGTAAGTATAATTTAATTACATTTTATTTATAATTGAATGATATAATTTTGATGAAAATTACCTTTAACATAAACTTTAATATTAAAGTTTAATTTAACCTCAGTTTTTATAATCTAAAATTGCTTGCATGTGAAATGAATATAAATATTTAGTTACTAATGTATTCTATTATATAATCTAATATATAATATAATCTATTATATAATCTATTATATAATCTAATATCTAATCAGAATGGGTATATTTTCTAAGTATGTACATTTGAACATTATAACAAATTGTTAGCAATTTGGGGTCAAATTGAAAGCAAACTCGATCAGATTTTGTCTACAAAATAGCTATCAGTGGCCTAATTTACACTGAGGGTTCGATCTTAGTCGGAATATAAGAACCAACCAATTGCAGTCGAGCATTCCCTTGTATTCGACTGTAACAGGGGAATGCTTAACTCGGTTGGTTCTTGCATTCTGACCCGGATTGAACTCTCGGTGTAAACTAAGCTTGCGCATTTGGCTATGGATTTGCCGACGAAGCTTGCTGACAGATTCAATTGTACACAGAGTTTGTATTATTGACATTGTCATTATCAAATTGCTGTCAGAAATATGACAAAGCCTGCTAAACATGTTATGGAAACTGGTTAGTGATGTATAACTTTCCCATCATGGCTACAGTCCATTTGATGCTACAATGCTTCGAAGCATTTTTTGATTGGTCAGTTAGTTAGTAAAATTCTTTCTTCCGATTGGCCAATCAAACGCTTCAAAGCATGTAGCGCCAAGTGGACCACATCCCATGTATTTTTTTACTAGCTGTTATCCGCAATATGGCGACAAAATGTTGCAAGTTATTTCGTTCAGCGAACTTGGCAGTATACC